ATATAATTTTCGACATTAATAAAAGAAAAAGCAAAATAAACGAATTTCTCGATTAATATTGAAAATATTTATACAGCTTTCAATATTTTACATTTGTCTTCTATATTGACGGTCACAAGTATAAGTTTGTTATGCTGCTTAATAAATTGTTAAATATACAGAAACTCTATTTGTGTGTGTGTGTATTATATCATATAATATCGAAAGCACGCGTTGAAGTAAACAATAATGAAAAGACAAATTGTGGTAAGATGAGATGAGATGAGATGTGAGAAGGAATTAATTAAAACCGAAAATCGATGAATTTTTCATTTATTAATAATAATAATAATAATAATAATCACGATAAATAATCAACAATATCTATGTCCAAGCTGTGCTTTGATTCAATGTTTGTATTAAGATATATATCGTTTCTCTATTTCACAGCTAGATTTCCAGCTAATCTCTCTTCCGTTTTCGAATTTGACACTTTTCTTGATAGTCGCCTAAAACTTAAAAGAAAGGAGATCTGTTTATTTCAGCTACACCTTCTTTCGCTGTTTAAAACAAAATATAGATGTATATATTTTAAAGAAAAGAGGAGAGAGAAAGAGAGAAGAGTGCGACTGAAACAAACAGTTTTAGAAATACAAGCCAGCCTAATTTCGATCATTTCGAAATTTCTTTTCGAGAAAGAATGTTTCGCATTACGTTATTAACACAACAATACGAAGAAGATAGTTCGAGCCTTTGGATCAAGCCAGCCATCTCTCAGCAAGGATTTATATAAATACACTGCTAAATAAAAAAAAATTACTAGAATAATTACTCTTTATAACACGCGTACCATACCTAGTTAATAAATCGAGTTACTCGAAAAATTGCTCTTAAGCCTCCAAGTTTGCTCTACAGTAAACGCAGTTAGCTTTTTTATAATCACATTTATTTGATTTGAGTATAATTATTTAGAACGGTGTGATTTGTATCTGTATACATTTATGGCTAGAGAATGTCAGTTCAATATTTATATCATTGATACGTTTGCAATTCTTTATGTAACACGTATTTTCCTCTCTTGAAAATCGGAAGACATTTTGTAGAATACATCCCATATATTTCTTCAAAACAAAAAAAGAATAAACGACATGTGATTTCATTTAAAATTAAACATGAAAATATAAAATTGATAAAAAAGAAGAAAAAAAAAAGAACTAGTGGTACTAAAAACTTAAACGTCATTAACACGCCCATAAAATTCGAATTTGACTTTCAAAATCTCTAACTCTTCTACTCTCTTTTCACATTCTATACATGCTCTTTTGTTTTTATTTCTAGTTTTTTTTGTTTTTATTTCTAGTTTCTTTTTTAAAAGGACCGAAAAAAATGCCTGAAATTTTTCTCTTTAGACATAATGATATGTATACATGCAAGATAACTGCCATAACCCGGAATTCGAGTGCAAGAATTCGATTTCGCGTGTGTATGAAATATGATATACACAGGGTGATTCGTGTTAATCGATCCACCAGAATAATTCGAAAACAAAACATACATTTTGCAAAAGATGTTTTAAATAAAGATTATCTGATTTTAAAAAGAGAACAAAATAAAATGACGATTTCATTTGATCTAGAGATTTCAAGATTATCTCTTTGAAATTTTTGTATTAAAATCTCTGTTTTATTTCATATTCTTGTAATCAGTATATTCACAAAATGTTCTTGAATAATAATTATAAAACTTTGTATTCATCATTCAGTTTCAGAAATATATACTTAAAAGCTGAGATCTACAAATATTTTACTATCTAGAATTATTACAAATATACATTCCAAAGATATAAACATTCACCCTGTGTGTATATAATTTAAAATTTTTAAATCTAATGAATTACATTTTTGTTTTTTTTTTCAATCTCCTGCAGTTTTACATTCTATTCTATCAAAAACATTATAACAAATAGATTTGATTTTTGCATAACTCCATTTCTTATTATAGTTAACATATTATAAAGTTGCCAATAACGACTCAATAATAGACGTGCTTTTAAAATATATGTATAAAGATAATTATTTATATTTATTAATTTACATCTCAATATTACTTTTGTTTTTCCAAACGCTGAAACTATACTTTGAAAATCAAAATTATATTACAAATTATTTCGTAATTCTCGCAAAACGAAGGGTTTAATATGACATATAAGTCCTCTCTTCTTAATCTTAGAAAGTTTTTTTTTTTCTTATCACATGTGTTCTTTTCGAAAAAAAAATTCGAATATTCGATTATTTTCTGCATAACTGATTCCAAAAAGAGCTTCCTTCAAAATTGCTGAAGCAATTTCATTAATGCATCAAAAAATCCGTTCTGCCATTTACAACGTGTCGTTGGCTTAAAAATATGATAAATCGCTCCGTTAGATCGATCAGAAGTTCGTCATCTACAATTAAAAAAAAAAAAAAAAAAAAGAAAAAAGAAAAAGAAAGAAAATAATAGACAGCCAAAAATCTCCAGAAAATAATAATAATAGAATGCTAGGGATAACGATTTAACGCGCCAAGACATGACCGATAGGCACGAATATGTCTTCTCGCTAAATGCTCCAGCTTGCTAGCTAACATTCTCTCTAATTATGTTGGTGTATGATAATATCTTCGTCATTTTGCGGCGAATCGATCAGTTTTTACATCTGAAAAACATCTTTTGTAACATATTGTTTTGTTTATCAATATAATAGCCAAATAAATGAAAGAAATTCGTTAGAAATCTAATCACAAGGCAGAGAATATCCTTTTGTGTTATAATTTATTTATAAGCTTACTTCAGTCGAGATGAAACATGGACTAGTATTACTGATATATTAATATCATTATTACTTGTCAGTATACTCATTATTATTTTGTTACTCATTTTTAATACATTTGTTTTTAATGTCTTTTGTCTGACTAAAATCTTGAGGAAATTATCGTCTGAAAATGAAACTTGTCTTGCGAATAGGGAGTATGATAATTTCTTTTTTTTTTCTCATTTTAAACTGATCTTGCAGCAACGACCATGTACAAAGATCTGAAACCGGTTCTGATAAAGCCCAATTTTCCCTAAAAAAGTTTCATAAGACAGTTCTCATTTTATTGATTTGTGAATAAATAAAAAAGAACCTTCGAATATATATATAAATTCAGTGAATATCGGTTTCGATTCTGTATGATCTCGATAAAATAATGTTACTAAATGTCATTCTTTTTAAGTTTTTCATCAACTAGAATCATGCGTTTAGCACATATTATAATTATTAGAGAAAACGACCAATTTCTATGTATAGGCTAAATTACATCAATAGCACGATGGTCTTTCTCCAATTTTCATTGGTACCCTCCTCAAAGCTGATGGTAGTAATAATAACAAATTGCTAGTTATTTGATTACACATTGTTTCAGTTTGTTTTCACCTAGAATGCCGGATCGATTATTTGTCGATTAAAGAAGAATCAGAGTTTATGTGCATTCTTAAGTCAATTCGGCAATAGAATAGCTCATCTGCCACGGAATTACGTTAATATAGCACACAACAATCTTCCTTTAATCGTCGGTATTTTCTCAAGAATAAGTTTTGCAGATATTTAACTCCGCCTAAAAATATCTACAAATAATCTCTAATGCGATACATGTACAGTTGAATGTTCATATAGTAAATTTCCACATTTTTTGTGCGACCTATTCGTATCATGATGTTCTTCCCTTTCCGCTGCTATCATTATTTACCACGTGATCGCGTGATAAAATACAGTGAAAAAACAATGTTTTTATTCTGCGTATATGCCATTAAAAATAAGAAGGAGAATAGCGAAGAAAATTCACAAATAAAAACATTCTTTGGTCTCGAGAGAAATTCACAATACGAACATTCGATTGTATCTAATTACAGTCGCATTTAATTATCAGTTAAAGAGAGAGGGACCAGTTTTTTTTTATATAAACATAATATATATATATGTATAATTAAGAATTTGTCATCAAATTGCATCGTTCTGGTCTACGAAAGACAGTAGCATCCTTCAATAATATTATCTGCTTTTTATTCTTATTTTTCTTAAATTGATACTTTCGTCGAGCTTTGATACTACGGTGTCTTAAAGTATAAAACGATGGTGATGCAAACGATATTACTAGAGACACATTAGATTACACATCCTCTTAGTTTACCTTTAACTAGAGTAAACGCATTCTCAGCGGTTATTTAAAGTTAAAGAAGGGCCAATTCCTACATATATATATATACACTGAATCCGATTCGGCAACGATATTATAGTTTAAGGCTTCTGCAGAAGTCATATTGTTTTATAGCATCAGAAATTCAAAAAAATCATACGAATTGTTTTCTTCTTATGCATAATATTATGCACAAACTTTTCTTTTAATAAATAATTTGATATTATATATACTAACGTGCTGACTCTTTTTTATGATTTACAAGCTTGATTTGTATTTTGTAGCAAATACGAGTTATTATATGAGTTATTATATATATAGTATATATATATATATATACATATACATATATACATATATATATACATATCCTTATATATGCTATACAGCTCAATTATAGCTCAATATACAGGGTGGCCCCGAACGTTCCAGCCAGACTTTGAGATCTTATAGGAAATTTAATTCTGAACCAAAAATTTCCTACAAACATGGGTCGAAAAATGCTTCCTTAAGAAGTTATCAAAAATCTCTGATGAAGAAAGAGCAAAAGATTAGGTTAAGAAAAGAAAATGAAATAAAAGGAAAATGAAACTAAATAAATTTCTTGAAAAATGTCTATTCATTTTCTACTATTACGTGCTATTACTAAAATATTAGTTAAAAAAAAATTATTTTATTTTCATAAAAGAAAAAGATTTTTATTTTTTATTTTTATCGTTTTTTTCAAGAAATTTATTTAGTTTCATTTTCTTCATCAGAGATTTTTGAGCGATAACTTCTTAAAGAAGCATTTTTGGATATGGGAAATTTTTTGTTCAGAATTAAATTTCCTATCGTTCGGGGCCACCCTGTATAGCTCCTTATATAGCTCAATAAAATTTAGCTCGCTAAAATTTATAAAATCGAGCTTTCAGATATCAATCATAGATATGGTATGAGAATATATATATGTATATAACATACATAATATACATATTTCATATTTGCTATAAAATTAATTGTATGACAGGAGCTTTCAATTTGTAAATGAAGAGTGAGCATGTTTCATAAATTCCATTCCCTCAATGAGTTGCGCAATATGCACGGATAGGATGATTTATTTCAACACGTACAATCCTTTTCTGATGTCACAAATGTCTAATATGATTATTATACGATGAATTAGAAACCTTAATTTCGCCGAGTCGCGTCGCTTGTATTACGCTTATACTTCTCGCTCTAGAAGGTGAAAAAATCTTACATCTATAAACTCCACAATGCAATATGTATCGCATTTACAACATGGACATCCTCGTCAGAAGATAGATTAGATTCGTCATGCCACTGTAATCTGATTCTTTGATAACGTTAAAAAAAAAAGAAAGAAAGAAAAAAGTGAACAAAGAGCGATTCAAGCCATATTCGATTGGCTGGAGTCGGTATTTTGCGTATTGGTACTGATGGTGTTGGTGCTGATGGTGGTGTTAGGATTGGTAACGCTATTATCATTAGAGTTACCGCTAGCGCTGGCGGCGGCGCCTGTGGCGTCCGATTGGCCGCCACCTCCACCCCCGCCGCCCCCGCCAGGATTCCCCTCCGTACCGGTGGTAGCGGTGGCCGATTGCATGTATTTGGGTATCAGCATGCTGTTGAGAACCGGTTGGATGCGCAGCTCGTGTTCGGTGAAGTTAAACAGCGGCGGTAGTTCGCGTCCACTTGGTAGTCGCGTTCCCTGCTCACGTAGTTCATTGAAAAAGGAATGCGCGCATGCCTGCAGCGGCGTCATACGCAGCGATGGTGTATATTCCAGTAATCGTGCCACCAGGTCCATCGCCTCTGGTGGGGTACGCGCCCTGAATACCTGCAATCATTATCGAATCCATGTTAAATTGCACTTGATACCTTGATATCATTAAATTGTTATTCGATCATTATAAAGTGAGAGCGAAAAAATCATTTATTATAAATTATTATAAAAAAAAATCCTTTATTATAAATTATTATAATAAAATTATTTAAACGTTATTAATTATAAAAACGTTATATAAATCTTTATCATAATTTTATGATTTTTTGATGAAGCAGTAAGAAAGAAGATTAAGTACGGGTGTAGTCCAGTTAATGCTTCAATTAGAATATTTCAAAAGCTTTTCTGTCTCTATGAGTTTGAATAGATTAATAAAAAGTGTTGTAAAACGCCAGCTGAACGGCTCCCTGCTGCATTGTAAGATTTTATTCAAGATTAAAAGTTGAATTAGTAGCCTAATAGAATAGAATATTAATAATGTAAACATTTTTTATTCCTTAGCCCTTAAAATATCATCAATTTTTTATCATGTTCTTTTTCTATCGCGGAATCCATAAAGTATCATCTAATCTTTAGCAGTTAATTTTATTTATTTTAAATTATAAAGATTTCGTTTTTAACAATATGTGTGTGTTTGATTGTTAAATGCAAATTCCATATTTTTTCTTAAAAACAACTGTATGTTTTCTTTACACCAATTGATTCCTCTCATTATTTTGTACATAAAAGTATTAAGGTAAGATAATTGAAAAATGAATGTTTTACTAGATATTTTATGGTTTATGTAAAATTAAGAAATTATTTCAAGCCTCATAACTCGAAAAGTATTCAATGAAGAAATACTTTATTATAGTGTTTTGGAAAGATCTCGAGATGAGCTACAAGAATATATAAAAATATATAGGGTGTTCCATTAAAAAATATTGAAGTAGCCTTCGCGTGACCTTCAAATGACTCTTCAAGATTAAACCAATGGTACCATCTTATAGCCTCCTCGAAATCAAACAACTTTTGTCTGAAACATTTTTTTCTCCTGGGCTTGATTTTCGAGATAATCAACTGGATGAATTAAAATGGGTCACCCTGTATATACAGGGTGGTTCCGAACGTTCCAGCCAGACTCTGAGATCTTATAGGAAATTTAATTCTGAATAAAAAATGTTCTATAAACATGGGTCAAAAAATGCTTCCTTAAGAAGTTATCGCTCAAAAACCTCTGATGAAGGAAAAGCAAAAGGTAAGAAGAAAATGAAATAAAAAGAAAATGAAACTAAATAAATTTCTTGAAAAAAACGATAAAAATAAAAAATAAAAATCTTTTTCTTTTATAAAAATAAAATAATTTTTTTTAAACTAATGTTTTAGTAATAGCACGTAATAGTAGAAAATGAATAAAGACATTTTTCAAGAAATTTATTTAGTTTCATTTTCTTTTCACTTTTTGCTCTTCCTTCATCAGAGGTTTTTGAGCGATAACTTCTTAAGGAAGCATTTTTCGATCCATGTTTATAGGAAATTTTTTGTTCAGATTAATTAAATTAAATTTCCTATAAGACCTCAAAGTCTGGCTGGACGTTCGCGGTCACCCTGTATATATAAATATATATGTTTAATATATTAATATAATAATATAATATAATAAATAAATATATTAATATAATAACTTGCCAAATATGAAAAATACCAACTTGCAAAATGTTGTTGATTTTAAGACGTTATAGAAATAAAATTAAAAAAAATTTTTTACTAATATCTTTGATTACACAGACCTGTGAAATTTTAGGTTTTATTAGTTTAGTAGTTTTAAAGCAGAGTAGGTAAATCTGATATATTTTTTGATGCTGAAAACGAATTTGGTCGCAGAATTTCTCCAGTACGTTAGGTTTTTAAGTAATTTGTGATTAAATAATCCAAAAATAGCTATTTGGCCATTTTCATTTATTATGAGGGAACCTAATTTTTTAAAATATTTCTGCCAATGGCGTCATATAGCACTAGTCTTTATCTTTCAAATCCATTTTCGATTGTTGCCGCATGATTTTTTTTCGCTGAGATATAGAAATTATAAGACTGGTCATGTATAGTGATCCAATAAACTATTCCAGTCAACAGTGTCACTTCTCTGTTTTATCACGAATTAAAATTTGGGTAAAAACATAAATGTTTGAACATCGCCTGTCATTTTTGAAATTAAAAATGGCGGATCTAATATGATGAGCACAGAATCGTAATAAAAAGATATAAAATTTAGAAAAATTCATCAAAATGTGTAATAACTGTAGATATATTTCTACAGGACTTTTTCGACAATCAAACCTGACAGATGTAAAATTTTAAGATGACGGATATGATATGACTGCCATATTAATGCTTACATATATAAAAAAATTTCTTTAACGTAAATTTTCTTACAACTTTATACTTCAGCAAAAAAAAATCGTGCGACAGCAATCGAAGATGAATTTGAAAAGTGAAGAATAGTATCATACAATGCCATTTGCAGAAATATTAAAAAAAATTAGGTTCTCCCATAATAAATTCATGAAATTGGCCAAAATAGCCATTTTTGAATTACTTAATCATAAATTATTTAAAAACTTGACGTGCTGGGGAAATTCTGCAGCCAGATTCACCTACTTACTCAGTTTTTCAAAAATCTATCAGATTCACCTATTTACTCTGTTTTTTGTAACTGACTCTCGCAGGCCTGTGTTATTAACCTGTGGAAAAAAATTACAAAATTTAAAATTGTACATATAATGTTGCAATTGGCTGTATTTAAAATTAGATAATGATTTTAAATATTCCGTTTTAAGATTTCAGTTCCTGTATTTCATTTTACGATGCTAAAAAGATATCCTTTATACTTGCTGAGAATTGAAGATAAAATAATTATGATTGGTATTATCTAGAAACATCTGTACCATATGGTTTTCTTTTACACATACACATATATACATACACATACATACACATACATACATACATACGAGATGTGCAAAAAAACAATGAAACATTTATTCTATTTCGAAGACTAGATTTTTTTGGAAATAATTATTTTAAACAAAAGATTTCATGTTATATTGAATGGTAGTATTTTAATTTTGGATTACTTTGTTAAGATCACATAAAGGTCGTTTTGAATTTTTTAAATTTCTATTATTACATATTTCTGTAACTCATATCAAGATGCTTTTAAAATATTATCATCTTACATTAAGAGTTTAGTTGTCTGATTTAGCAAAAGTTCGATGGTTTACAACTTAAGAAGTTCTTAATGAAAAAGAATTTAAGTAAACGTATTTTGAAAACGTTTTAACATTAGCTGTAAGAATTTTAAAAAAAGTTCCTGTTTAAAAAATTTTGGAAATGAATCTTTAATCTTCAATGAAATGATTTTCACAAAGTGTCAAGATCAAAGTATTAATATCATTCGATAACTGAATTAAATTGAAAACACTTAAAGTCTTTTGTTTAAAACATTTTTTTAAAATCCTTTTCGAAATATCAAGGTGTTTTATTATTTTTCTCCATCCTATGTGTGTATGTATATATACAGGGTTGGGAAAAACTCTGGATACCCCTTAATATTTCGAAAAATACACATTTAAAAAAAAATGTTTCATACAAAATTATAAGGTTTTATGTGGCGCATTACACAACATTATTATGACCTCAAATAGCGTTGTCAAAGTTATGTGAAGGTCAGCTTCAATTTTTTAAATGAAACCCACCTATTTTTCATTGCATATTCTTGTAGCTAACCTCGAGAGCTTTCCAAAACACTATAATAAATTATTTTTCATACTTTTCGAATTATGAGGCTTGAAGTCATTTCTTAATTTTACATAAACCATAAAATATCCTGTAAAATGTTTATTTTTCGATTATCTTACCTTAATATTTTTATGTACAAAATAATGAGAGGAATCAATTAGTGTAAAGAAAACACATAGTTGTTTCTAAGAAAAAATATGTAATTTGCAATTAACAATTCCATATTTTTTCTTAAAAACAAATGTATGTTTTCTTTACACCAATTGATTCCTCATTATTTTGTGCATAAAAGTATTAAGGTAAGATAATTGTAAAATGAATGTTTTACAAGATATTTTATGGTTTATGTAAAATTAAGAAATGATTTCAAGCCTCATAACTCGAAAAGTACTTCATGGAAAAATAATTTATTATAGTGTTTTGGAAAGCTCTCGAGATAAGCTACACGAATATGTAATAAAAAATAGGGAGTTCCATTTAAAAAATTGACGGTGATCTTCACGTTTCTTTCAAATGACTTTCCCATGTCAAATCATTGCCACTATCTGATGGCCCCCTTCAAGCCATACAACTTTTGTCTGAAACATTTCTTTCTAAAGTGCATAGTTTATGAAATATTCGACCGGTCCGGGACTTTTGGGACACTCTGTGTGTGTGTGTGTGTGTGTGTGTGTGTGTGTGTGTGTATGCGTATGTTTGTGTGTGTGTGTGTGTGCGCGTGCAATCTTTCTATTTAATGTTGTATCAACATGATAGTTGAATAAGTATACAACGTAAATGAATATAAGTGTGTACGTTTAGAAAAATGAACAATACAGACTTCACAAGCACTACTCTTGATAAACACGAAAGGCCAAAATATTGTTATTCATTTCTTGTTTGGTGTAAATGCAAATCTCAAATATCACCAGAACATAAGAGTAAGTGATACTTAAATTATTTTCAGTCGCCATAACAAATACAAGAGGTACGATAGATCGTTAGTAACGTTAACAGATGAGATGAACCGAGCAACAAGGAGATTCTCATGAGAAAGACAATTGATCATAAAAAGAAAATAGTACAAAAATTTCTTGTCCCTCTTTTTTTTATCCTTCTTAAAGTTAGTTTACCGGACAGATTGGAGAGAAATCCGCACGCTCATCTGAATATCAAGATGGAAGTTTGGATGTTAGTACAATGAGCCAAGATAGAGAAAGTTTGTACCAGTTATATGTTGAATAAGACTCGTTGCAAGTTGGACCACTTACTCTAATCTTCTGGTGCTCCGTGGAACACACAGGTGTTTCACTCATTCGCTGAAGCATATACTGCAAACCACGAGTACATGTATTGATGAATGGCACTATCGAACCGCTAATGCCGCTAATGCGTCATTGATCGAATTTTAAATAAGGAAATGTAAAAATACTTTCCTTTTTTTCCGAAAGTATGCATTGAGTAATTCCTTATTACGATATCTCAGCGAAAATTTGATCCTATCTCTTCTCTCCTTTTGTTATAAAATTAAGAGTAACTTTTTTGTTATTTAACCGTTTGAAATTTATACATATTTCGAAAAAATCCAAAATATTTGAAAAATTGAAGTAATTTTTATTACTTCTATTTTCAAAAATATGGATTTCAAATTGGCTCTTCAGTCATTTATAACGAGTTTTTAGTCACAAAATGATAAACACATGTGACAAGACGAGACGACCATGAGATAAAGAGAAGTATGTGGTAAAATGTTGCTGGATGGGTGTGCGTGCGTGCGTGCGTGCGCGCGCGCGCGCGCGCGCGTGTGTGTGTGTGTGTAAATATTATGTGTTAGGTATATAATGAGATATTGTAAAATTATTTGTGAATAATAAATTTTACCTTTTGCCAAGGATGCGACTTAATTTGTGGAAATTTGAATTCGGTATAGTTGGGATTCATCTCACGTATCTGATCGCGCGTAGGCGTACCAAGGACTTTGATAATTTCTACCAGCTGATCGACACCACTATCGCCGGGAAATATCGGTTGGCCTAGCAACAATTCTGCCAGCACGCAACCTGCGCTCCAAACATCTATTGGGAAAATGAGAAAAATATGTCAAGAAAATTAAATTAGATAAGAGAAATATAATACTATTAATAAATATAAATATTGAATATTCATAATATACTAAATATATTATATTAATAAATATAAACAAGTTATTAAATATTAGTATTGTACAGGGTGAGGCAAAAGTATGGAGAAACCTTTAAATTTTTCGAAAATTATGCATTTCAGAAACAAATGTTTCAGACAAAAGTTGTAGGGTTTCAAGTAACGCATTACGTAGCAATATCACTATGACCTTAAACAGCACTGTCAAGGTCACATAAAAATCAGTTCGAATTTTTTAAATGGAACCCCCTATTTTTTATTACACATTCTTATAGCTTGTTTCAAGAGTTTTCCAAAACACTATATTAAAGTGTTTTTTCATTGAGTACTTTTCGAGTTATGAGGCTTGAAATCATTTCTTAATTTTTCCTAAACCATAAAATATTTAACAAAATATTCATTTTTTTATTATCTCACCTTCATACTTTTATGCATAAGATAAAGAATGAGTAAAGAATCAATTGGTGTAAAAAAAAACATAATTTTGAAGAAAAAATATTGTAAAGAATCAATTGGTGTAAAAGAAAACATAATTTTGAAGAAAAAATATTTTATTGTTTATGGTTTATGTAAAATTAAGAAAGTATTTCGAGCCTTATAACTTGAAAAGTACTCACTGAAAAAATACTTTATTATAGTGTTTTGGAAAGCTCTTGAAACAAGCTACAACAATATATAATAAAAAGTAGGGAGTTCCATTTAAAAAATTCCAAGTGATTTTTATGTGACCTTGACGGTGTTATTCAAGGTTATACTGATATTGCTACGTAATGCATTACTTGAAACCTTACAACTTTTGTCTGAAACATTTGTTTCTAAAATGCATAGTTTTCGAAAAATTTAGGGGTTTCCATACTTTTTCCTCACTCTGTATATACTAAAAAGTATTATGATATAAATATTAAAAAAAAAATCAAATTTTCTACATTTTATTATCCTTTATGGAAGTCTAAATGATTTGAGCAGGTATCTGATAAAGATTGAATAATTTAACATACGAGTTATGAAAAAGATAGAGCGTGGTTAAAGATGATTCCTCGACTTTTAAGATGCAACATCACTCAAAGGGTGTAATGTCATTACATTGTAGCTTACCGATCTTTGTAGTATAATCAATAGCACCAAAGATGAGCTCAGGTGCACGATAATAGCGACTGCAAATGTAAGACACATTAGGCTCGCCTTTCACTAGATGCTTAGCCGAACCGAAATCGCATAGCTTCAAGACGCCGGTATCTGGATCTAAGAGTAGATTCTGCGGCTTAATATCTCTGTGGCAGATACCCAACGAGTGAATATACGCCAATGAACGGAACAGTTGATACATATACAGCTGTAAAAGAACCAAAGGTTATCTTCTTTTATATTATACATTATACGCATTGATATAAGTTTATGAAAATTTTTGTATTGCAATTATTTTAATAATATTATTATTATTTTAATAATAATTACATTTTAATAATATTATTATTTTAATAACATTATTATTATTTTAATAATTATATTTTAATAATATTATTATTTTAATATTATTTTAATAATTTATTAATTTGTATAGTAATTAATTCACAAATTTTACTTGAATAAAAACAAAGTACGAATATATTTAGGAAATATATTTAGGAAAATATATGATTTTTATTTTTTCTTTTATATTCTCTAGAAATATTGAAAATAACTCACCTTGATAAAGCTGATTGGTATCGTCTGCTTGCTTTTGCTATAATGTCGAGCGACTTTGTACACAGTTTCGGGTATGTATTCCAGGACTAGATTGAGATAAACCTCGTCCTTCTATAAAAACAGAAGAAAAAGAGATAATTCTGTGATATTCAAATCTTGACATTTGTCTACAAATATTTGTCGTTTCAAAGGCACACTACTTCAAAACCAAACATCGATTATGATATCGCCAAAAAAATATATGGAGTGTTCCCAGTGTTTGCTGTAGATAATTTCAAAATTATCTAGATAAAGATAAAGATAAAAATCTGTAAATTTATCTTAGATGAGATAAAGATGATTTTGCTTTTACTTAATTTACATGAAAGATGAGATAATTATTGCGATAATCTAGATAATTATTTAGATATTTTTGTTTATTTTAGAAGACTATAAATATTTGTAAAAAATGTGACGCAGATTATAAATGGAATAGTAAAATCATAAACACATATTCTTTCTCTTTTCCTAAAGAATATTTAATATTATAAAGAAATAACAGCAAAAAGGTATATAAATGATATGATAAATATTTATTTATTAATTTACATTTATAATATATTTATAATATATTTATAATATATTAATAATAATATAAAAAATATATTTTATATATTTTAGATAGATTTTTAGAAGCTTGCCTGGAAAACTTTTTTGCATAATGAAAACGTCATCTTAGACAATTTTTAGATAAGATGACATATATTTTTCATCTAAGATAAAGATACTTTGTATTTCTTCATCTAGTTAAAGATAAAGATAATCCATTTCTTTATTTAGATGATTATCTAGATGATTTTATCTAGATACCAGCAAACACTAAGTGTTCCACAATTCGCAATATAAATTTTAATGACAAATTCTCTTCAATCAAAATCTAAGGTCATTTATTCTTACTTTTATTTGAGCTTTTAAATACTTCGGTATAAATTTTTTTTCACCCTAACTTTCTAATTTTCAAATATTTATAATCTTACAAATATTTTGAAAAATTACAAGAGAAAATTATTAGAATATAAAAATATAAACTACTCATTGTCCGAAAAATCTTTTTTCTTTAGTGTTAATTTTTCAAAATTAAAAATCGATAAAAAATATATCCAAGAATTTGTGATTAAAATTAGTTAATAATTATAGCAATTATAGGCGCTACGTCGTTTGAACCATACGCTTCATTATCTCTTTTGGACACACATATCGACGCTGTCATGTTATTAACATTTAAATTAACACACACGCCTTCCAAGTACGAGATAACAAGATTAGCGAAGCAGTGTGATCTATCTAGATCCAGATGAAAAATAAGACTTTAAAAAATGACATTTCAGAAGAATGATACGAATGTGAAGATGTACGGTCTTATGTGAAAGCGAAAATTTGCCTACATTTTTTTTTTCACCAAAAGGGGGAATTTAGCACAAACTACTGGGTGTGCTTCAACTTACGTCAACGTGAAAAACCGGATTAGTCGCGGTTAAGATGTTCTAAAAGATAACAATGTGGCATGCATTAAATAAACATCTTTCGTTTTTATTTTATAAGCACACGTCATTACATAATAAATCAATAGCAATAAAATCCATAATCGCGCGCTAATCAATGGCTGTAATGATTAATCGCATATTTCGCGTCGTTTTTTTTTTCACGATTCTTGACGAAATGACAGAATCTTTGAATTTTCGTATGACAGACAAAAGCTCCATCTTTGCTTAAAATTTATGGAAGGTTTAAAGATAAGATAATTACCTTATCACCACTAGAATAAAAGAAATATTTGAGTTTCACAATGTTGCAGTGCTCGAGGCGTCGCATAATTTGTAATTCTCTGTTCTGAAAAAAAAATCACAGAGTCTCATTAATTAATATATATTTAATAGATTCATTAAATAAATAAAATAAAGTGGAACGCTAAAACGTGATAAAAAATAAAAGAAGAAAAAAGCAAACGAACAGAAATTACAAATATAGAATAAAAAGATAGGATAATATAAAATGAAATAACACACAGAATTAAATCAAATAAAATCCATCTAACAAAATAAATAAAAATGTGCGTTAAATGTAGAACATAGATTTTTTTTTATTTAGAGTTCGTTATTTTTTATTTCTTATATATTATTTTATACATATACAGGGTGTCCCAAAACACATAATCAATCTTTCAAAGACAGAATCCTGGGATCATTTGGAGACGATTTTTCCTTTGTCTATACAGGGTGGGCCCGAACGTTCCAGCCAGACTTTGAGATCTTATAGGAAATTTAATTCTGAACAAAAAATTTCCTATAAACATTGGTTTATAGGAAATTTTATTTATATTGGTTCCTGGTTGGAACGTTCGGGGCCACCCTGTATATATATTAGAAAGCAATGTAAATATGCTTACTTTAAATCGTTTATCCTGAAGAACTTTCTTGATGGCGACCATCTCACCCGAGTCACAGAGTTTGGCTTGATATACCACGCCAAAGCTGCCATTGCCGATGACCTTGGTGTCAGTGTACGCGACCTCTTGGGGACGATCTGGTCCTGCTCCGGGAGTCGCCACTACGGTTGTTACCTTGCTGCCATCCTTGCCTGCAGGGTACATTGCACCACCCATAGAAACAAATCGGAAAAGACCACGGTACAGGAAAAGAAGTAGAAATAAAAATGGAACACCAAACTTTCTCTAAAAAGCAGGAAATGTGCAGGAAGCCATTTTTCAGGAATTTTCCAAGATTTTTTTTTTGCAAGATTGTAAATAAAATATAGTCATATCGGTAATATAATTGTTTAAAAAATTCATAAATAATCCGGAATTTCAACTACATGAAAGGCAATAAGTTAATTTACAAAAATTTTTATTACATTAAGACATAGAAATTATATATGTATGTATTAAATAATAATTATGATATATTATATATTGAATATTGTATTTTAATATATTACAAATTATATTATATTAATACAATATTTAATATATAATATATTAATATATACTATATAATATAAAATACATAATATATAATTATATGTACAGGGTGAGGAAAAAGTATGGAAACCCCTAAATTTTTCGAAAACTATGCATTTTAGAAACAAATGTTTCAGACAAAAGTTGTAAGGTTTCAAGTAATGCATTACGTAGCAATATCAGTATAACCTTGAATAGCACTGTTAAGGTCACATAAAAATCACTTGGAATTTTTTAAATAAAACCCCCTACTTTTTATTATATATTCTTGTAGCTTGTTTGAAGAGCTTTCCAAAACACTATAATAAAGTATTTTTTCAGTGAGTACTTTTCAAGTTATAAGGCTCGAAATAATTTCTTAATTTTACATAAACCATAAACAATAAAATATTTTTTCTTCAAAATTATGTTTTTTTTATACCAATTGATTCTTCACATTATCTTATGCATAAAAGTATAAAGGTGAGATAATAAAAAAAATGAATATTTTATTAAATATTTTATGGTTTAGGAAAAATTAAGAAATGATTTCAAGCCTCATAACTCGAAAAGTACTCAATGAAAAAACACTTTAATATAGTGTTTTGGAAAGCTCTTGAAACAAGCTATAAGAATGTGTAATAAAAAATAAGGGGTTCCATTTAAAAAATTCGAACTGATTTTTATGTGACTTTGACAGTGCTGTTTAAAGTCATAGTGATATTGCTACGTAATGCGTTACTTGAAACCCTACAACTTTTGTCTGAAACATTTGTTTCTAAAATGCATAATTTTCGAAAAATTTAAAGGTTCCCATACTTTTTCCTCATCCTATACAAAATAATATTATTATATATGTATTATAATAATTAATTATAATTATAAATCTCGTTGTTCATTATTTCGATGACTTCTAATAGTCTATTACATTACTACATTTCGTAGAAATATAAAAAAAAGTTATGTGTGTCGTGTTAAAAATTGCAATTCCGAAAACCGTTACATAAATTATAATATCTCGGTCCCTACAGTCATCGCTGCTATTTTCATGTGTGGTTCTCGGACATGGGCCTACATACGACGACCAGGAATAGCCTAATCCTTGATTTGTTTTCGCTACTACTTTCGAACTATGCGACTTGCGGGATAAATCACCGTGCGATTTACACGTACCGGAAATAGTTGCTGAAAAAATATAATTTATAGTCTGCAGTTTACGCGATTTTCATTTCAACGATATTATTTTCTCCGATTTCCTCTGTTTTCAATATCCAAGCAAACAAATTTCGGCTAGTTATCCTATTCAGGAAGAAACAAACATGAAGATGTGTTATATGAAACATAGGAGGTGAATATCTACAATTGCACATTGAGCCTTTTTTATCGACGATTGTCAGAGTGCGCTTTCAAGGGGATGACCTTGATGAATAAACAAACTATCACAATCTCGCAGTTTCTCTATCGGCGTGTTGTACAATGTAAACTTCTTTCTGGAAATAGCTTCGCGCACATTGTACCTTTGCCATTTTCCGAGGGTCGATGATTTGTATTCTTATTTGTTAAATGCATCTCTATATCTTGACTGCGTCATCAGACACATATATGTTAAGTTATTTGAATAAGACGTCATCAGACATATATGTTACTTGAAATAAGACGTACACAAAGAATATATCACACATATAAGTTTCTTATAAGATTTCTTATAAGAAGTCTCATATAAGATTTATATACAGAGTGTCCCAAAAGTCCCGGACCGGTCGAATATTTCATAAACTATGCACTTTAGAAAGAAATGTTTCAGACAAAAGTTGTATGGCTTGAAGGGGGCCATCAGATAGTGGAAATGATTTGACATGGGAGAGTCATTTGAAAGTTACGTGAAGATCATCGTCAATTTCTTAAATGAAACTCCCTATTTTTTATTACATATTCGTGTAGCTTATCTCGAGAGCTTTCCAAAACACTATAATAAAGTATTTTTTCATTGAGTACTTTTCGAGTTATGAGACTTGAAATCATTTCTTAATTTTGCATAAACCATAAAATATCTAGTAAAATATTCATTTTTCGATTATTTTACCTTAATACTTTTATGTACGAAATAATGAGAGAAATCAATTGGTGTAAAGAAAAAACATAATTGTTTTTAAGAAAAAAATATGTAATTTGCAATTAACAATTACATATTTCTTTTAAAACAACTGTCGAAAGGTATTGAATGAAGAAAAATATTCAATGATTCGAAAAATATTCAATGAAGAAATACTTTATTATAGTGTTTTGGAAAGCTCTCGAGATAAGTTACACGAATATGTAATAAAAAATAGGGGGTTCCATTTAAGAAATTGATCTTCACGTGACTTTTAAATGATTCTCCCATGTCAAATCATTGCCATTATCTGATGGCTCCCTTCAAGTCATACAACTTTTGTCTGAAACATTTCTTTCTAAAGTGCATAGTTTATGAAATATTCGACCGGTCCGGGACTTTTGGGACACTCTGTATAAAACAGCTCATTCATAGATATAGTAAAGATGTTACAATAAAAGATTACAAGAATAAAATTATAATTATTAAAAAAATCGTTATAAAAATATCTATTTTTTAACACACTTCAAGACATTTTCTTTGCCCTTTAATAGGTATTTTGTTTTATTTAATATATTTGGATAATAATAAAATTGTTTTTATAATAATTGAAAATTTAAATCTCAATTTAAAATAAATAATTTTCATAATTTTTTGTATATTAACATATAGAAAAATAAAAATTATAAATATAAATACACATATATATATACATATATATATATATATATATATATATATATATATATATAAATTTATATGTATGACTTTAGTGCGATGTTAATGATGGTATATATTAATGTGTGTGTGAGACAAGAAGAATAACTCTAATATTTAAATACAATGAAAAATTACTCTGATATAACTTCCCATTTGCAAAGAAAGTAGGAAAGCTAAAAGTGTAAAAAAAAATTATAAAAATTGTGTTTTATTATATTGTTAACGAAACACGAATGCTGCTCAAAATGAGCTTCTTGGTTCGAAAATAAGAGAATCACCTGTTTTAGAGTCCGTAGGCAAATATAAATTTTCTGATCCGCGAATACACCGAACAACTAATCGCCACGTGGAGGATGATGATGTCTTACCTTCTGACATGTTTGCGACTCGCGACATTTTCACTCATCAATCATTGATAGATCGAGAATCGCGAGTTTATTATTCGTTTTGTACTTCGCGAAATTAGTTTTTACAAAAAAGAAAAAAAAATGATTAATATTTTATTATTATATGATAATATAATCATATAAAGATATATATATATATATATATATATATAATTAATTAATATAAAATATATATAATTATACTAATTAATGTATATTTTTATAATAATAAAATAATATATTAATATTTTTATATTATTAATTTAATAATTTTTTAATATAATTTTTATTATATTATTATGAGATATATTTATCTTATATCATATAAATTATATCATATATATTTATATTATATCATATAAATTTTTTTTTAAAGATAATCTATAATTTAAAATAAATTTTTCTCATCTATGATTCATAATTGTGATTTATGATATATATAGAATATATATATATATATATATATATATATATATATATATATATATATACATACATACATACATACAGGGTAACCCCGAACATTCCAGTCAGACTTTGAGATCTTATAGGAAATTTAATTCTGAGCAAAAAATTTCCTATAAACATGGGTTGAAAAATGCTTCCTTAAAAAGTTATCGCTCAAAAACCTCTGATGAAGGAAGAGCAAAAGGTGAAAAGAAAATGGAATAAAAAAAAATGAAACTAAATAAATTTTTTAAATAAAAAGCGATAAAAATAAAAAATAAAAATCTTTTTCTTTTATGAAAATAAAATAATTTTTTTAACTAATATTTTAGTAATAGCACGTAATAGTAGAAAATGAATAAAGACATTTTTCAAGAAATTTATTTAGTTTCATTTTCTTTTTATTTCATTTTCTTTTCACCTTTTTGCTCCTCCTTCATCAGAGATTTTTGAGCGATAACTTCTTAAGGAAGCATTTTTCGACCCATGTTTATACGAAATTTTTTGGAACGTTCGGGGCCACCCTGTATATAGAATTGTATTGATATATATAAAATTGTATAGAAACTTAAAACTTATTAATATCGCAAAATTTATTAGCAACGATCACTAATCTCATCTGTGGATTACACAATGAAAGTCGTAATTATTGTAATTACATTGATAATGGATTTGAAAATTTCGTATTTGATTTAACACTGGAAGATCGAAAAATAAGGCAATTTTCAACAAATATCTTTTCCATGGAATCCTATGGAATCATTCCTATGTATGGAATATTGCGAGAATATCTATAAGATACTAAACTTAATATTATATTATTTATTTAATATTAGTTATTTAATATAGTTAATTATAGTATATTATAGTATATTTAATATTTATATATAACAAATTTAATTAATATATTAATAATATGATATATTTAATTTTAATAATATAACATTAAAATATTTTTTAAATAAATTATTTTATAATTATTAATACAATTATTTATTTTTTATTACTTTATCAAAGT